GAGTAGACTGAACTTAGTTCAATAATAATCAGACAACGCTCGATGCAAACTTCAAAATGCTTTTTTAAAGCTATCCTTCTGCAAACACTTCAATAAAGTCTAGTTGGAAATACTATTGTCAAATAAGTGATTCGATATTTCACAGAACCAAATAATGATTTGGTCATTCAACAGTTTAGTTAGTTTACACTCTACCAAATAGAAGCAACGGTTATCTACAGGTCCTACTGTTGTATGTGTAGTCTTGATCCTTCTAAAGCATATGATTCACCACATGCGTCGAAGTAATTTTATTCATATAACAATAATAATAATAAATGTTTCACGATGACGGCTACTTTAATGCACGGCAAAAAAGTGTTTTAACTAATCTGGACTTGTGGCACACATATTCCGAGCGTGTCAACAAATAACTTCCAAGTATGTGTTAGAAAGTGAAATAGATTAGGTAAATTCTTCGATAGATTGTTCACTTGAGTTTAGTTGGAAAATGGTGAGCGATCAATATAGTTATGGTGTGTGCTCTAAAAACATATGAGAACTGAAACAAAGGACAAAAGGGAAAAAAGAAAAAGAAGTGAATAAAAAGAGTGGTCTTAACAATCAAATTATGTGGTAACGAACAAGAGTGAACAACGATTTCATCGAAAATAAGAACGAAAACGAAAGCTGTGTAAGTGACATCGTATACGCGCCACCACCATAACTGCTTATTGCTCGATAACGTTCAGCCGTTGTGTGCGTTTGCAGTTGAAAACATTGCTTTCGCGCTTATTTTTTCAGACGCGAATAGTATATAATCATTCGTTCTCAAACCCAGGTGCTTTTTTTAATTATAGCCTCGAACGAAGAGAAACAATAATCGAATATAAGAGAAAAGCAGTATAATTTCGGAACTATAGTTGGACCGTTAGCTGACTTGAAGGTAATATTTTAAGCTTGTTTTATTCCTTTCCGATAGATTTTCTCATTCAAAATAAAAGGCCAGAAGACCAAAATTATTTACAGCCAAACAAGAACATGTTGCACATAGTGATTAGAATATTTGATTCATAATGTGGTTATACCCTTAATAATAATGTGGTTATACCCTTAGTAATAGTATACCCTTTCACTAACAATTTGTGCGTAACAAAACTGATGAGTATAATAGTATGTAGTAGAACATATCATTACTGCTTGTTATATGTCAATTCTGCACTTGCACTACAAAATGTTCAAATCAGTACTTCGGGCCAAAGCCAAAACTAATTTTTTCGAAATAAATTTTGTGACTCAATTTTAAAGCTATTTACACATTGTGAAATATTTAACGGCCGTTCCAAAAATATTTACATAAAAATAAGATTCATTTAGAGACTGGAACGAAAAAAAATCAAGTAACAATGTCCATACTAATTACGATCTATTGATCTAAGTGAATGAGTTAAATAGTGATATATGGGTTTAAAATTGTCACTAAACCGATGTCGGCGTACATTGACTCTACATTCTAAAGCAATCGACTGCGGTAGTGTCAGCGATTGTGTCCAGTACAATAACGTACGTGAACAGAAAAATACAATGGCACAAAGGCTACTCGACTTATGTTCTCGTTTCGTGATCATATGTCTGCTATACATAGAACATAGCAATGGCGACAAAAAAATGTGAAAATTGATTTCTTAGCTCAAGCGAATGCTTTGTCAACATGCAAAGGGTATCACAAACATTTTGCCATTGAATTCACACGATAAAGTTCGGTTCGAGTTAAAACACTTCGAACTGTGAAACTTTCTTTTCCTCTTCATGCACTTAAAGTCAATTGGTGTATCGTTTCGCGTGTGCAAACATTCAGGCAAGAATAATAAAATTACATAAATGGAAAATGTGAAGGGCAAACAATAACGAACACAACTATACATGCACATTTTAAGGGAACTTTTTTCTTTTGAATTTCACATTAGTTGAATTGATGAGGGAAAAACTTTGCTGAATATTTAAAAAAAAACTATAACATACTTGAATTGTATCCCAAGAAACTATTTTTTCATTTAAAAAAAGAGTAACCGAATACTCTATCTGGGAACGAAGATACAAATGATTATTATTGGGCGAAAATCGGCGTTTTATTGTTCTTCAAAATGATTGTCATGCGCGATGCCTAGGTGTTGTATTACTTTTGAGTGATTTGCCCTTACGCGATGCAGTCCTTTTTTGAAACAATATATTCAAATGATAAGAGATGCGACTATCGACACATATTAAACTGGAACTGTTACTTTTTTCGGGTTTCGGCGGCCATTGTCACGGAATGTTTGAATGAATGGCATTGAAATTACTTCACACCAGAAGAATTAGGTTTTCGAAATTCCGAAAAACACTGCACGTCGTATCTGACATCACTATATAAAACATGTAAAGGAAATCCCGGTCGATCCAATGTGACCGTTTCACTGGATCCATCAATTCCATATTATCTCACTCGTTTGGAAATAAAATTTTCCCAAATTTCAATTTTCCAAATTGTTGAATTCCAAGTAACATAATGAGACTCACATACGTAGGTACTTTGATATGCAAACAAGTTTCGATTAATATGAATATTACTGGTGAAAAGCTACACAATATAAATGAATATTCAACGATACAAATGAAATTGGTATTTGCAATATACAAATATACACGAAATATATATTCATGGTCAATTCTCCAATGGTCGATGTAATTCAACAAACAGGTCACATATTCAAATACTCTTTCAAGACGCAATTCGGGAATATATGAATGTCCGAGAATGAAAACGCAACTTCTATTCACAACACATATAAGTGAAACAAAAATAAAAAATTTATTGAAATGAAACAACAAAATCGAATTTTTTCAAAGTGTAACAACAAAAAAGATTTTTTTAAAGTGTAACATCGGTATGTAGTAAGTGTAACAACATACCGATGTTACACTTTAAAAAAATCTTTTTTGTTGTTACACTTTGAAAAAATTCGATTTTGTTGTTTCATTTCAATAAATTTTTTATTTTTGTTTCACTTATATGTGTTGTGAATAGAAGTTGCGTTTTCATTCTCGGACATTCATATATTCATTAAACAATGATTACGGTGGCTTAGAAATGCTACAGACCAAAGAACTATGGTATCTAATCGTGGAAAAGACATAATATGTAACGCACGCAAAAAGCTTATGTACAAAACTGGCAGTTGTTGCAATAAAAATAAATTTCTTTCTCAACTTCTTCAAATGTAACTGCTTTTGCAATGAAATAGCCACGCTATTAATAAGAAATCAAGTTTGATTTTCATTCAAGGCGGGAACATTCTTCGGTCCCTTGCAACTGTCAGTTCGTCCAATTAATAACACTATGTCTATTGTGTACTGGAGTTCTGGATTTCGCTCCATAAACTTCATTGATTTTTCGCAGAAGTAAACTGTATGCATGATTGATGAGTGTTGAATTCAACTAAGTGAGTTGGTCAAAATGAAAATGCCATGTTATTAATATGTTTTTATTATAAAGAGTCAGAGGTGCCCTAAACTCGATTATTATTTATTCACTATATAAATGAATGGCTATGATATTTTTCTAGATTGGATTGCATATCAGATTAGCGGAGATTCATTTTTCATTGTTTGAGATGTGACCAGGGCTGGAATTCTAAGTCATTCCACCAAAATCGTTCGGAACTATTTTTTTCGTACATAAGACCATATTGGAGTGAAAGAGAGAGATTCCACTATTTTTCAGCTTCCCACCGGAATTATTTCTCATACAATCCACTGTTCCTTGAGTTATCGGAATAATTCCGGTGGGGAACTGAAAAATAGTGGAATCTCTCTCTTTCACTCCAATATGGTCTTATGTACGAAAAAAATAATTCCGAACGATTTCGGTGGAATTCTTAGAATTCCAGCCCAGGGTCGATGATGAGCGAAATGTCAGTATGACATTTTTCGACATTCTTTTGCTATTTCGATTTCGTGCAAGCTTGACAGACAGCAAATGTTTGATATAGTAATCAGTTTTCGTGGTTGCAACTTAGCAAACATAATATTTGATTTCGTGCACCGTTCGATATGGAATATTTATTTGCAAAAAGGCAGCTTTTTATCGCTTTCAATACGATTTTTGTCGACAAATCATGGCTGAAATTTTGTGTACGGCTTGAATGAGAGAAGAAAGAAACCAATATTGCGTCTATAATTGAGCTAAAACACTTCTAGCGAGCAGTATATGTAAAACGGCTTGATGTATTAACGTCAATTTCCGGCACCCTCACATTTAATGGTCAACTGGACAACTAGTTGAAATGAATTCGTACGTTTCTATTCCACATTTCAGATATACGCAATACAGCTTGGCGCATACTATCGACCATTTTATTCGAATAGTAAGTGCTTTAGAGTTCTTTTGAATACATGAAAACTAATCGGGCAGTTGAATTTCCATATCTGTGTACCCCATTTCAATAGTTGAACATAAAATATCTGTTTTCTTTTTCGTAGGGCCTTCTTCCACCGTTCTGCCAAACAATAGAATGCTAATGTATTTTCTAGCCACCATGCAAAAACTAGAATAATATAATGTGTTCAAAAAACGTTATCAAAGCATAAATCAAATGTGTAAAACAGTATGTCTGGGCCAGGGCCGGTCTAAGCGCAAGGGCGACCAGGACCAGCAACCCGTGGTGCAGGATACTAGAAGGGCGCTTTCATTATATGAAAATTAAAGAATGCAAACGAAAACTCTTCTCGTTTTGGGTGGAAGATATTAAAAAAAAAAAAATCGCACAAAAAGCACTCTTGCCCCGAGGCGCATTGAGTGTTTAGACCCTGTGTCTGTCCGAACTGACCACTGAAGAAATGAAGAAAAGAATAAAAAAGAGAAAGAAAGAGAGAAAGAGAAAGAGAGAGTGAGAGAGAGAGAGGGAGAGGGAGAGGGAGAGTCGACGACCACCTTATGACTAAAAATAATAATATTCAAGTCATTTTTTTCTTCATATCGTCGTATTTGAAATTGGACTTGCTTCGAGCTTGATATTTCGCGCTTTACCACATTTATTCCATTCGAGAATTCCATTCCGCCATACACTACAACCATTCTGTGGCGATCAACGTCGTAATTTGGACGCAAAAACATTTGATTTCAAGTGTTCAGTTGGAAACATAGACTGTAAACATTTTTGTCATAAAACGATGTTTTAATATTTTTCTTATTGGTGTTGTATGGAAAATAACTTCCGAAAATGGATATTCCAGGTGTTTTATTTAATTGAAGTTTTACTGTGCGAATAATTTCATATCAATTCCATTGAACCATTTGCGTGTGCTTTTTTCATATCTCTCAATAATCAAATTATTCGATTTAATTGATTAGAAACGGGTGCCGTATTCACGCTCGGAAAATCCTATTTATCGGAAAATCATCAAAGTTATTTCTTCATAAAGAATGACCCAATTAGAAAAGTTATAGCTGGGGAGAATCAGAGTGCGGTGATTTGTGGTCAGTTTCGCGTTTATATTATAGATAGCTTTATCATTCAACTTAGAGTTGATGTTTAGTGCTTTTTTAGTAGTTTGAATGGTGACATAGAAATTTTTTCTCTTATATGAAAAATGTGTAAACATAGGAGTGAGCCGGGCAAAGTGAGACATAGGGTATCAATGTTTTTCCCGAATGCGCGGATATTTGATGAAGGCCAATGTTTGATTCCAGTCTAGAACAAACAGCTAGATTTATATTTCCTTCATTCATCGATTTCATTTTCACATTTTTACATTGACTCGAAGTCCAATTCAATTTGTAGCTTAGATTCAATGCTTTTGCGTGAAATTACTAAATAATAAAAATTTAGTAAGCAGTCAATGACAGATAGCTGAGGATATATGCTGGGCATAGGAACTCAGCAAGATGAGATTGGGACGTTTGGATTTTGTGACTTGCTATTCGTGCAAATTTATGTGGAATTTTGGTGGAGTGTTGATGGAGTGTAATGGAAATTGTGTTCTAAACTCCCCTCCATCATAAATTTGTTGGAATAGCACGTCACAAAGTCAAAATATCCCAATCTCAGCTTGCTGAGTTTCTATGCTCAGCATATATCCTCAGCTATCTGTCATTGACTGTTAGTAAGTATACTGTTTTCAGAAAATAATTGTGATCAAATCGCAATTGTCCCGCATTGTCTCGAAAACTCGCCCTCTGCCAAACCAGGACTACTATATATTACCCCAGTATGGGTTAAAGCCGTCTAACTTTATTCGTTTATGCTAAATCATTGAGGTTTAATCATGAAAGTGTCATTTCGCATCCATTGCGATTTCGTCTATTAAACACAGATCACAGTCTGCGGCGCATTGAGCGCTTGACAGCTGTACACTAGCGTCAAATACTGAAGCAAACAAATGTTACCAAATGTGGTATATGTGTTAAAAAACCTAGAAAAAATAGAATTTTGGTCGTTAAACGAATCCATCGCAGAATCGTGCTTCACTTTGTTTTATTAGTGCCGTGCGTATCTGACAGACAATTGTGCATAGATCCTGACACCAAAAATTTCAGATATGGTTGGACCAAAAATTCATGATGGGGACAAAAAAATGATCAATTCTATCTAGTGTAAAATTTTGCTTTCGGAACAAAAAGTGAAGAGCTAAATCAGGGGGATTACAGATTGACAGTTGAGCTGCATGATGTATACTGAATGAATAGTTCTGCAGCTTGCCGTATATGATATTGTAGGGCAAACTGCGGGGCTAGTGTGCTTGTGTTTCAATCTACAATCTCCCTGACCTAAATAAGGTCCTCACTTTTGAAAAATGAGTCGAAAAATGTCGATGGGTCCAAAAAAATTCGTTGGGGTTCAAAAAACACCAGCAGGGTTCAAGATCAACGAGATCAGACTATGTCATATCTTTACAATTGACTTGAAATACTACAAACTTGAAAATCCTAGAAAGAAGGTCTGAATATTCAATGCCTCATATTGTCGGAATCCGCTCGGAAAACCGATGCGTAGGAAATCGAATTTTGAAAATCGATTCTATCTACTACTGCAAAATCGGTCTAAAAAAAGACTTCAAATCAGATTTCAGAAATGAAGAATGGGGTTAAGAATGGCTAGATTTCGCATTTTGAAATCCTAGACCTGGGGTAAAATCAAGAAAAACCCTCAGCTCACGTCTGATCAAACTACAATGTTTCAAATGAAATTATGAAATCCAATAAACACTGAAAAAAAGCGAAAAGTCTTTTCGGATTTTTCAAAACGGCATTTTCTTCAAACAAACACATTCGTTCAAATGACAGAAAACAATACAATAGCGTAGTCATTTTATTCAAGATTTTACCATTGGATATCGCCGGGGGGCCATTCCATTCTCTAGATTTTTTCATTGTCTGTTTGCGTCCATTCTACACACATATATTATTGTAAGTGTATTTCTGTTGATTGGCTATTTACCATTTTGGCTCGTTTTCATTTCCTTTTGGTCTTGCCGAATGCGGTGTAAATCTAGAATCAGGACGTCTATTTATATGGGGAGAAAATCAATGGAATCAACTGTCTGCAGGTTCAAAAGAGGTTATTGCAAAACCTTCGTGTGTTAAAGAAATAAAAAATTTGGGATATAAAGTGCGGTAAGAACATTGACCACGTTGAACATGTTTATCGATAAAATTGACCGAATTTCTCGCTAAAATTGAAAGCGATTCAAAAACTGAACCATATTCAAATCAACATTTGTATTGTTTATGAAATGTTTGTGTGATTTTGAGCTGTGCCATTTGTCGTATTTAGATTTACATTTACTTATTTTTCAGGAATATTGCATTTGGTCAGGCATTTAGCGTGATCCTAACAGGTAGTAAAAGCACCCCAATATCAACTTGAATACACTTTATTTTTTTTCTCAACTTTCTCCCAAATACAATAACGATCATGTAGAAAACAACAAAGTATTTTTTAATGGCAAATCCATATTTACAATAAATGAAACGTTTGGAAGTAAGTTTCGAAGTTTGGACAACAACGTGCACTGTATTATTAGACATAACTACGAAATTATCGACTTCCATAAGCGGTGTTTGGACGACCACGGCAATTTGGACGATTTGGTTGATATTAGCGCGCACATTTTAGGCACGTATTTTGTAGTGCTCACAAGTAAGTGTTTCGTCGCCGTTTCAGATCTTTCCAAAATATTTGTCCAACACTAGATTCCAATAAAAAAAAATTTAATTTATTGCATTTTTTCATTCAGATAGCGGAAAACTGTATAGTTATGGGTACTTTGGCTCCGCAGTAAAACGGCCGAGTGAAACAGTGAGGCGAATCAGTGAAAATTTTGTGACGCGAATCGCCAAATGTGGCAGGACATTTGTTGTATTTGTAACCGGTAAGCTGTTAGTTGAATCAACTGATCTAAGACTGAAAATTGTACAACATTTTTCGATGGATTTTATAGATTGTAATGGAGTTTATGTGCTTGGAAAATTAAATTCAGTCGAATATAGCCGAGTCACTAAATTGAATACATCTGACTTGAAAGACACCGTGTACAGGTAGGGTGTTTTTCATAACCTGAAAAAGAAAAATGGTAGATTTTAAATTAAAGAGGAAACAATTCTGTATCAATTAGTGGTGTTCACACAACGGAGCAATCGATATTCACACCTCGCGAAGCAAAAAGACTGCTTTTCCATTCAAATGTCTGAATAACTCTCGCTCCGAAGCGTTGAACAAATTCTACTTACCGTGATATGATGCATTGAACAAATCATATCCAAAGAATGCAGCGACATTGTCAAACCGGAAAATGAATATAACCCATTCTGATCATCAAATAACGTCTATAAAACCACTCATGTACTCCGGTAAATAAAGTTAGACAACTTATATACCTTAAAATAGCCCACTAAGTGCAAGGCTTGAGAACTCTAATAAACTACTAGAAAATAATTGTTAAAAAAAACTTTAATGCTTAACGCTGGATTTTGAATTATGGATTGAGTGGAACGCCGTCATCATCTGGTCGTCGCAGCAGTGCTGGATGTATCGGAATACCAAGTAGCGTGCAAAGACCTAAGTAAATAGAAAACAAGCACATAAATAACAATTAATTTAAGCGAAAACCAAATCGATTCCAATTTTCAAATGAAATATCAATAGATAATGAACCTTTGTACATGATCAGTTTGGCTGCTGATATGTCCCGATGCCAAAGTGATTTGAGCAACTTGCGTGATTGTGCAGCGTCTTCTGTTCCAGCGTTTTCAGCAGCATTTGGTTGCCAGGTTTTGAAGAAGCGTTGCTTCTTTGACACCAAACGTCCTGAATTTCATTGGGTTAGAATGGCTGCAATAGCATCACCTTGGTCGCGCATTTCCTCCCATGTACGCATGATTTTCCGTTGCATTTGCAACACTCGTTTGCTGACGTTCGTATAGATGGTTCTCGGAAGTCCAACACGTTCATCTGGTTGGCAATCGTTGCACTTCTTGTATCGTTTGCTCTTCGTCTATATCGGGACGGTTCCCGAACGGGAAGCATCGGGCACAATGTTGCGATGTCATGTATTCATCCACCAACCGAACGACACAATTGCCACGTCTTTTGAAGGCTGCAATCAGCTTGCGAACGCCTGGACACCGCACGTACTTTTTGATTCGGATCGGGCAATTTGGTGAAATTTCGGCTGCTCCGATGTTGATGATAGCTGTCTTGAAATGTACCAGCTTACCGGCGATGAGATCAATTGCACGACGCCATTCAATGTGTTTGTCCAAACGTAAGCGTGCATAGTTTTTCTGACTGTATGCCGCGATACTATCTTGGAACATTCGCAGGCGATGTTCGATGTAATGGCGCCAAGAGATGTTCCGTGGCGATGGTGTCTGGCCAATCTCTGTGGCGATACGTTTGAGGTCCGCTTGTTCGTCATACGTTCGGCTTTAATGTTGCGCGCATCTTGTTTCGATTTCTGATGGTATTGTTTGAACGAAATCTTCTCGTTGGTCTGAAAATAAATTGCAACACAAGTGAATTATACTTCTTCTTCTTCTTCTTCTTCTTCTTCTTCTTCCTTTTTTCGTTTTGTAAATACTTACCTCTTCGCCGGTCTTTAGATCGAGGCGGACCGACGCAATAAAGGTTCGCATGCCTGGATCAATTCCCAATGCATACGCGAATTCGTTTGCGAAATATTTTCGTTTGGTTTCGGCCTCTTCTTCATCAGCAACAGTTTTGCTCTGTTTCGGCAATTTGAATAACACCGACGCTGACACACCATCTGATATTATCGAATCGCCGAATTCCTTCTTATTCTTGACTAACTTGATAATTTCGTCCATGTTGAAATACGAACGCCAGCTTGAAATTCTTTTAAATTCAGTCTGTGAGATGTAGCGTTGTTGGAATTCGCCGTTTCGTAAGACTCGGGTGCCTTTTGTTCGCTTCATTGCCTTGACGCCACATAAAATATTGTACAATGCATCTGTATCAATTTTCACGTGTCGGCGCTGGAATGTGCACTTCGGAATGACTGTGAAGGTGGTGATTTCAGGCGGCTCTGGAAATTCTGGCTGTTGCACATAGAGCGGATATTTTCGGAACAGATTCCAACTTTGGCGTAGATTGGCAAACGAGAGGTGAAAGTTATGAATATAACGCTGTATATTAATGAACATGCGCAATGCTTGGAACCAATTGAGTTCAACGAATTCTCTGATGTTGAATGGGTGTGGATCATCTGGTCTGTAAGGTGCTCCAATCCAATACAGCTCCGCCAACAGTATTTCCAGTTTCCGTATGGCATTTGCATTGCCACGCGTTGAATCTCTCCGGTTATATGTGTAGCTGATGGCATTTTTGATGTCGTCACCATCGAATAATTCGTCCAACTCGAGATCTCCACACAGACACATGTGGTTCAATTCGTAGCAACGCATTTTGAAGAACTTTCTCAAACGCTGTTCGCAATGCGTTTTGAGGTTGTTCTTGACGTTTGTGGCATATTGCTCGTACAGGTATTTGAATGTATTGCCGAAAAATCTGTTCGTTTGCCATGGAAACCATTCGCCGAGAATGTTGATAACCATTTGCCGGAAACCTGGGACCATAAACATTCGATCATTGGTGTAGTTTTGCCGGAGCACACCTTGGAAGCACATTTTGATGATTTCATCACCATTGCTGTTGAAAAAGTCGTTGTTGAATTCATCGACCGCCGTATTAACCTAACAAGAACAATGGTTTTTTTTGTTCAATTTGAATGAATCGAATCGGTTCAAGATGGTCGTACAAAATGGCGAAAACAGTGAAAATGTTAAAAAAAAAACTTATCAGATATAGAAAATAGAGCGATGCTAGGAGTGAGATTAGCGTTGCCATGATGCTCATTTCCCCAATCACTGTTGTCAAAATCAGCCGATATGGTTTTTGGATGATTGTTCGTAGAGCCAGTTTCACTGTTGTGAATCTCTTATCGCTCCCACCGCGAGCTCCACAGGCTCCACGGGCCATGATGAATAACTATTAAACAAACAAAAAATTAATTTAATTCGTCAAAAACAATGTACACAGTACAAAATAAAGTTAATAAATTATTTACGCACTTTCTGATAAACAATAAACCAATTCACTATGTGTTGCAACAACTTTACTCAACCAGTTTCAATGTGTCAATGCGCCAAATTTTATTTCGTGTTGAAATTCACGTATCTGTCACTGGTGTCGATATAGAATTTCAATACATGCTCGGATAACGGAATCAAATAAACAAATGCAACAAACATAACAATAACAAATGAGTCTGTTGTGTTGTGTTGCGTTGTATGCGATGAAAGAGAAGTTCGTGCCAAAATCACGCTCCTAATGTGAAACACATACACAAACCGAAGTTCTTGTTAGAAGTTTGTTTATACGGTTCGTTCGGCACATAGTAGTTGGAATGGTTGTCATTTCAAATGTTTGAATTTGGCAGATGCTGGGTAGCGTCCCGAAAACATTAGACAATTCAAATTAGACAGTTCTTTTTTGCTTCGGGAAGTGTGAATATCATGAAGAATATACATTTTCAAAAACTCACTCTAAACTTTGTATTTTTTCTTTATTTTTTTATATTTTTTCGTGTACAGCATATACGTTTCGCAGAAGGATGAAATTTTTTTGATCAGTAGCTCGGGTGATGTTTATAAAAGTACAAGTGCTACGGAAATTCAATTCGAACGTATTATTTTGTTCAATCAAAACGACAACATTTGGAAATTTTGTTCGGGGCACGATTTTGTGTGTGTTCTTACTGGTGAGTATGATGTGGATTGCGTGTTAAGAATCAATTAGTATGTGGACATAAATTTGAGATCACTATTTTAGATAAAAACAAATTTCTGACTACATTCAATGAAAAATTATCGGCCAAACACAAAGGAATTAGGCTACCCCATGAACTAAAAAAATTTCAAAACCTCCGTATATTGGACATAGCTGCAGGGCTACACCATATTCTCTTATTCGCAGTGTCAAAGCTCAGTCCAAGCACATCATTGGATATCACATCATCAGATGCAAATGAAAACATTCCCATACAAACATTGCCCAAAAGTTATGATTCCACCAAAAGTGTTGAAAATCAAAAGCGATCTATTGAATTGTTGCATCAGAATACACCAGATTTCAAGAATATTATAAGCTCAAAGCCAATTTTGGCCAAAGAAACTCTTGAAGAAATACATTCTGATGCTCGGATCGATATAAGTGATTCCATAAATCAGACGATAGTATCAAAAGCCTACACTCAACCGAATACATTGGAAGCGGATAAAAAGATTACAGCAATTGAAGTAGTTAAATCCCAAACGGAATTATCGCACAGCAAAGACGATGTACAAGAAAATCACTCTAAAATAAGTGATAAAGTCGAAATCAAGATGGACATTGTTAGTAAGAGTGTCTCCAATATTGGAGATAGTTTGATGAATGATATAAAATCTGTTGCAACAACGGGTGAGGAAAAGCTAAAGGACTTGGCTGAAGAAACTGAGAAAACAGTAAAAGAAGTTCCAAAAAATGTCATCGACTACGTTAAAACATCGATGGGACTTGAAAAAGAAGAGGAAAAAAACAAAAACGTCGATGACACAAACATGAATAAAGTAATAGGAAACACAGGCGAAGAGTCAACCAATGAAATATCAAGTGACCCACCGATACAGAATTCAAATGAACCAGATAATAATGAAATGAACAAGCAAAACAATAAATTAAATCGCGCATTGGCTCAAGATGTTACGGTATTTGATGAACTTAAAGATGACACTGAAGCTGATAATGAAGTCAAGTTCATAAACGATGGTGTTGATGTTGGCAGCACATCAAATATTATACAAGCGATGAATGATGAAATCAACGAAATGAGCAACAATCCAAAAAATAAATCAGACGAACTGACCATGAAATTTGATGAACTTGCCGAAACTACGGAAGCAGACTCAAATAAAATATTTCAAATCAAGAATGGTAAGAGTCAGCGGCGTAACTAGAAATTTCTTTCGGGGGGTTTTTGTTTTTGCACAAGTATTAGAAATAAATGCAGGGACGATTTCCTGTGGATATTCAAAGTAGTGATTTTTTAGATCTATTAACAATCAACTTAGAGCATAGAGAACATACCCGAGTAGCAAATTTCCCCTTTTTCCCGGTTGCAAATGGGTTACTATAACTTAAATACAACTCCAAAGATGTTGCAAGCCGATCTTTGTAACGTTACAATAACCGTATTGTAAGCTGTTTAGCCGCGAGGCGGGGCTTATTTGTAACAAATTGGTTATAATTCGGTTATAATTCGATTTTATTATGTTATTATATCGTTGCAATAGCCATGCTCATAAATCGCATACTGTCATATAACCAAAGAAAGTTTCAATAAAGTTACTATCGAGTTTCAATTTGAATGTTCATTCTTCAATTCATTCCTTTCAACGGCATCATCATTTATCTCTATCTTTGACAAATTCAACTTGAAAAATATTTAATCGCTGGGCAATTTATATATATATATGTGTGAGAATGAAAATATTTTGCCGATTTTGAACATTTTCAAAATCGAAATTTTACAACGAATGTCATTTTGTCGTCAATAGTGGCCACGATAGGCTCTTAAAATTCACGCGCCCTTCAAAAGATGCAATTTTGAGAAAAAATGTGCAAAATATTTTTTTTTCAATTTTTTTAATTTTTTCGTTTAACTATCTCAAACCATTTCAAATACGATTTATAATGTCAAAATTATAATAATTAGCTAAAACGCAATGTTGAAAATGCATAAATATATGATAAATTCGATTTTATTTTCGAAAGAACAAACGCATCAATGTGCAAAAAATTTCAAACAGCAGTAAATATGGCGATTTTTACTGCCATTGTTACTAAAACTCAAATGTAACTCAAATAGAACCTTGGAATTGTTGTAACAATACTGCTACATTGTAGTAATGTTGCAGGAACTTCTTAGCTTCCATCTAGACTTTCATCATATAAAAACACGTTGCAAAAACATTTCGGCAACTAATTTACAACTTGTGTTATTCAAGTTGCATTTCAGTTTTTGAAATGTTGTATAAACGTAAGAGTAACAAATAAAATTCTATTTTGCGTTTCAATGTCAAACAATATTTTGGATGCCAGCATATTTTTGAACAATTCTCTACGTTTTTTCTATAATTTCCATTCTTTTTGATTTTATCCCACGATAGTTTCAATGAAATTGGTCTGTTTTTGTTTTGTTTTCCATGATTTTATTTTATTGCCACAGAATTTTGATTAGGCGATGTATTCCTTACGGAAAGAATTCTAATGACAGCCAAATTCTATTTCTTTATACAACATATCTACATTCAATATGTTTAGTTGAAGTAACCTTACTGTAACCTCTATATAACATGAATGTAACTTAATTATAACTTGAATTACGTTATTGTAACAAGAAAGATAGTAATGAAGTAGTTTCAACACAAGTTGTTTTTTTTTTGTGATTTCTCTGTTTTTATCGTAATGATTGGTTTTCGATTGGATGAAATCCACCAACGCGAAACGTTTAACGTTCTCAACGTTTTCGAAACTCATTAGCTTGGCAAATTCTTCAACAGGAATTGCATTCTTGGACCAAATGTATGAATGTTTGACAAGGTGAAATGCACTGACGTATCATGGTTACGTATGTAACCAAATCGTAGTTGCAGCAACGTTACAATAAAGTTTTGAGATTATGAGTTATCTGGCAACCAGTTGGTAAATTTGTTAAAATATTTCTCCTTTTCTGCAACTTAAAAATAACTTTTCTATAACTTATATATAACAAAGCGGATGCCTTGTTACCTAAAAACCACATTGCAACTGTTCTATAACATATTTTGTTGCGAATAACTGAATTGAAACCGATTTATAACAAATTTTGGTTGCAAGCCTGAGATTTTTGCTACTCGGGTATTCTTTATTTTGGATATCCAGCCGAAGTATTCAAAAGAGTTTATCATCCCATGTGGATATATATTGACAGACTGCTTAAATCGGATGAAACTTGAAAGTGATCCAATTCACAGATAGTTAACCCTCTAATGCATACAACCGCCTCTAGACGGGCAACATTTGAACGCCTGTAGAACGTGAACCGTACATCGGATCACATTGCTTAATAGTCATTTTTATTCGTCAAGGTATCCTCTATAATCTTGTCTTTTGCACTATTAGTCTACATCAAATGGTTGTTGAGTTAGAAACTAGAATGTCCGTAAAAACAAAAATTTGACATAATAAATTATTTCATTTCAAAATTAGACACATTTTTTACACTTTTAAACAATGGATTTGATTGTTCTCTGATTTATGTCAATCGCATTTCCTGACGTTTAGTCATGAGGAATCTAGGATTATGAATATTTTTTTAAATATCTATGGCCAAAAATCAACCAAGTACCAGTACTCCCAGCCCTGGGAAAAATTAATGCATTAGAGGGTTAAATTCACTTTTGGAATCTTGTATGAAAAATAGTCGGCTTTAGTCGTTTTATTTCGAACATATTGACTGAAGAATAACTATCAGGCGACTACAGCCGTCTATTTCGTTTGAGATAATCATTTTTAGTTAGCTAAAATGTCCAAAATTTAGCGATCGACTGCTCAGGCGATACAACTTTATATAATATTGTTCGTATGGCGAGCGAAGCGAGCCGAAATTTTTGATATTGAATATCCTGAAACTCAATTTTCCCTTTATTTATTGTAAAAAAAATTTTGGGATGATTTGATTTCGGGGGGGTTTGAACCCCCTAATTACGCCACTGGTGAGAGTGGCTCTATTTTCAAGGTTCACGATTGCAATTATAAGTTGTAGCATTGGGAGAAAAAAAGAGGAAATCGTAAACAATTGCTAATATTCTACCAATATATTCGCCAACGACAGTTCGCAACAATGTGGAATAAAATTATGCCCTATTTTACTTCCTAGATATTTTCAATATCTAGTTTGTGTCAATATTTTGTTTGCGATGATTTTTTTTTTCAAAATTCAACCTCCCACCGCGAAAAAACTTAGTTGTCTGAGTTTTTCGTCAGACCGAAATTTCATGCAAAATAACAAGCTGATCACAATGAGAAGAACGTTATGTTTCCATATGGTCGTAAAATACTCTTATTTGTAATTTTTCATGTTTCATATTGAATACATTACTTGATCTAATTTTAAAGCCTTGATTGGGCAATTTGCTACTATAAAATTTTACTATTCACAGAAATAATGCACTTTGGAATTCAAAAATTCTAATATATTTTCGGTATCTGTTGACAGTTGAGAAAGATATTATGAAAGATGTCCCTGCTACAACAGCAAATTTAATGACAAAAATTATTCCGTTGAAACATGATTTGGATGAAGTGGACCTTGAAGCGGACGTTGACACTGAGCTCACTGAGCAAACAACTGCTTCAATCAAATCGGTAAGTACGCCGGCCAAAAATCAGTTTGAAATGAATGCAACTGTAGAAGAAATTGAGGCGACTACCCCGAAAGAAAGCGAAGGACGTGTGAAACGGTTTTTCAATGAAATCAAAAACAATTGCAAAACATCTGACACTGTTGTAGAGAGTGAGTTGTATTTTGAACATCAACAAGTCATTTTCCATTTATTAATTCGCGCTCTCTTTATATTCTTTCTACAGTGGAGGAGAATGCAATGCAGCAAGTACAGCAAATAAAAAACCACTCATTAGACATCATTGGGGACAATAAAACGTCCAAAGTGTGTACAATTTTGTAAGCAACGCAGCTAAAACGATTTCAGATGATTTCTTTCCTTCCGATTTATTATGATTCACTTCCATTTCCACTCTAGTATGTTTACATTACACTTTGTTCAACAATAAATTCATATTTTTTTTCATTTGTAGCAGTAATAAACTAGTGTCTAATTTATTGATGATTGAAGTGCTCAAAATTTCTAGATCTAGACCAAATACACATCGGTTACCTTTTTTTACATATACATATATGTCCTTCCAATGCATAAGGGTGCATCATGATAGACTTCCTCCAATGGTAGTGTGTTATTCAATTGCTCCGTATGTCTTCAGCATGATTCAATTCTATTCCAAAATTCTGGATGTAAACAATGTAAAGAGTGAAAGAAAAACTATTGTGGTCCCATCAATCATAGAGTGCACGTTTTGATAGAGGTTATTCGCTTTTAACCAGCCTGATTGGAGAATAAAAATATAGAATTAATATCCAAGCGTTAAAGATTAAATCTCACCAATATGTATACTACAAAACATGCATTGCACAAGCCTACAACATGCAGTAAATACCGAGAATATACAAGTCTTGAAAAATCAAATCAAATCAAAAACAAATTGAAGAAGAAAATAAAGATTGAGGCTAATTCAATGATTTTGGAATATAAACGTTGACTAGTGAATCCCAACCACAGTCAGCCAATTGATTTCGAACCAGACGATTCCAGTCTAGGCCGTAATTGAATTCAGTATGATGTGTTATTGTTTCTAAAGCCTCACAGTCATGTTGCCAATTCCAAATTCTAGTAGTGTGGTCATATGAAACTGAAGCTAAAATGTCAGAATCAAATGGCGAAAATCGAACTCTTCTCATGGCATATTCACAGCCATACAATTCAAATAATGGATGCGTCATATAACGTAAATCCCATCCTCTAATTAGGCCTGTTGCAGTAAAGAATAAGAATATTAAATTGTTAAAACATCGTATCAAAAGGGAAAAAAAGGTAAATACAAATTGAGTTAGTTCAAGAAGCATACCATCTGAACCGCCTGAAGCGAACACATTTTGATCGAACTCACTCCAATCACAGCTCAACACCTATAAAAGAAAACAATCGAAAATGGTGATTGTTTTTTTTTTTTGATAACAAAACAAGTTATTATTTGCCATATAAATTACCTCAGACTTTTGGTGTGCCAAAAGTGATGAAACTGGATACGGCTGTAAAAAATCCCAAATTTTCAGATATCCATCGGCACTGACGCTCATGAAAATGTTTGGAATTTTTTTCGCAAATCTACTTTCATACACCAATTTTGTGTGGCTATTGTATGTCTTGAGTGACATTGCATAGTCTGGATTCCATAGCTTTATAGAGCAGTCCCAACTGCTACTTAAAAATAATGAGTCCTCTGACAAATGATTCCAATCAACGCAGCAAACCTCTTTGCTATGTTCATTATAGCATGATTTTGGTTTGCTGTAGCCGGAAAATGTTGATATCACGGCATTTGTTTCGGAATTGACATCCCAGAGCAGAACATTTGAATCACCGCATGCTGAAATCAACACGTTCACGATATGCTTGGACCAAGCCTGAAAATGAAAAACGATTTGTGACTTGAGTTTTTCAATCGAACATAAACATTTGTCTAAGAAACAATACATACAATATCAAATAATCCGTCGGTCCAATTAAATGACTTTACTTTGTTGATGGCGCCATTCTCGTTCAATTTTAACAAGAACAGTGTACCTCCACCGACAGATCCGAAACATTGGCTAGTGGCTATAAAGAGAAAAGTGAAATTTTTCAAAGATATGACCACGAAAAATTGCTGTCTGCCTTAGCAATTGAATGGAATAGCGCTCAATACTTACCAACAGCTAAACTATTCGCGTCAGTTGGTGAAAACTGGACATTATAGCCATGCCTATGCTGAGTGTAAAACGATGATTTTTCTGCAAATATGAAAATACAACATACGATTTTTATAATGCAAGTTCATGAATTCTCTTTGGGAATAACACAAAAATCGATTTATTGATTTTATCTGATCGCGTTGAAAAAGCGACTGTGGCTATTTTCTGCATTTCTGGTTTGGGTTGTTGTTGTTGTTTTTCAGTATTTGATTCGTATTCGCATTTGCAAGGCTTCGAAGCAGTCTTCTTTTTCTCGACCTAATAAGTGACTTTGTGATTGAATGCGCAATTTTCTCAGCTTTTGGGCTGAACATAAATATAACTATAAAAATCTTTCATGAGATCTTCTATTCTTTTCCGTAAACGAAAATTTGGAATTTTTACACGGAATCACCAATGTTAGAATATTACTGAGTGAATAACAAAGGGGCATGTAATTGACACGGTTTTTTTAAACATTTCATTTTCGATCAAATCGAATAAGCAAAATGTAACTTGTTGGTACTTTGGTGACATAGGCTGACGTAAAAACATAAGCTTCTTAATATGTTTTTGTTTATTTTCTTCTTTTCATGTATTAATGTTGAATCATCGCTAATTCCATTTGTGAAGAAGCCTTTTTCATGCATTTTCAATTTGCTATAAAAGCTGAACCAGCAGCCAGTGTTCATTACACTTCTGGTGGTTACTTCAAACCGCAAACATAACAGTTAGTTCGAAACTGTTCATTTTTACATACGTATAAATTCATCAGTCGCTTCAGTGCTAAACGAAATTTTCACGATAATAAAAAGTTAAACTTCATTACCTTAAACGTAATTAATAAATAAAGTATAATCATGGTTGTTGCAGTAAAAGTATTCAAAAAAACCACCCCAAATGGAAAGCTAACATTCTATTTGGGCAAACGTGATTTCATTGACCATTTGGATTACTGCGATCCAATTGATGGCGTTGTTGTGGTCGAACCAGAATACTTGAAGGGACGTAAAGTATTTGGTGAATTGATTACTACGTACCGATATGGTCGTGAAGAAGATGAGGTGATGGGAGTGAAATTTTCCAAGGAATTGTGCTTGCAACGTGAACAAATCGTGCCATTGGTAAACCAAAAAATGGAAATGACACCAATGCAAGAGCGCCTTGTTAAAAAACTCGGACCAAACGCATTTCCATTTACTTTCCAATTCCCAAACGTTTCGCCCAGCTCAGTTACATTACAAGCGGCTGAAGAAGATGAGGGAAAACCATTGGGTGTTGATTACACAATCCGTGCTTATGTTGGCCAGAATGAAGAGGATAAAGGCCATAAGCGCAGTCAAGTTAGTTTGACTGTGAAAAAATTGCAATACGCACCATCGACTCGTGGCCGTCGCCTTCCTAGCTCCTTGGTTAGCAAAGGATTCACATTTTCGCAAGGTAAAATCAATTTGGAAGTTACACTCGATCGCGAAATTTACTACCATGGCGAAAAGGTAGCTGCTACCGTTGTTATCACCAACAATTCGAGAAAAACCGTGAAAAACATCAAATGCTACATCGTTCAACATTGCGAGGTAAATTGACCAAAAAACAAACGAATCAAAAGATTTAGATTTATAGGTATATTTTCTTGCTTCTAGGTGACAATGGTCAACTCTCAGTTTAGCAAACATGTGGCGTCGATGGAAACTAGAGAAGGATGCCCCATCACTCCAGGCGCCTCTTTTACTAAGCAATTCTTCTTGGTACCCCTTGCATCTAGCAACAAGGATCGTCGTGGTTAGTATGATAGTTAGAATATTCAGAAATAATTTTATTTTGAATCATTTGAAATATTTTGCGTTTTATTAATTTGCCTAGGCATTGCTTTGGACGGTCACTTGAAAGACGAAGATGTTAATTTGGCATCATCAACTTTGATTAGCGATGGAAAAACCTCAACTGATGCTATGGGTATTGTAATTTCATACTCAGTTCGAGTTAAGGTCAACTGTGGCACCCTTGGTGGGGAACTCCAAGTAATACTGTGTATTATATTTATTAATAATTTTTTAAAAAGTTTATAATTTTTATTTAATAATTTTTAATGAATTATTATATTATAGACCGACGTGCCTTTTAAATTGATGCATCCAGCCCCAGGCACTGTTGAGCGTGAACGTGTCAATGCTATGAAAAAAATGAAATCGATTGAAAGACATCGATACGAAAACAGCCATTATGCTGACGACGATGACAACATTGTATTCGAAGATTTTGCTCGTCTCCGAATGAACGAACCTGAGTAAATCGAAAAATCATCAAATCGATAAAACGAAGAAAAAAAAATGTTGCAAAAAAATCTAAAGAAAAAACTCAGTAACTAAAAACGAATAGAGTGTCTTCGATAGTCAAAACTTGAACTGAATTTTCATTTCAGTACCGCAATTCAATTCAGCTTTTCACTATCATGATAAATAACGCTCGCCACCAGAAGTGATATAAATAAAAAAAAGCATAACGAACGAATTTTTGAATTCTGTATTCTAATGTGAATTCAGAATTCAAAAACAAAGCATGAAAGAAAAACTTAAAAAAATTCCCTTGACCATTGCCACGAAATTCATTGTAAAACTTATTTTTTTGTTTATATTTAAACCAAATATGTCCATCCCAATCCAATAAAGAGAATTCTCGAAACACTTTGTTTTATTAATTTAAAAAATAATTTCCAACTATGTAACTGCTGCAATATTTAGGAAAACAACACAAAATACCTTTGGATGTGTGTGGTAAAATCATATTAGATTCACTTAAAAAATATTTATTCAAAAACACAGGAAAAATCACAGCTAATTATTCAATATATTGATCTGGCAATGTTTCTGGCAATTCGTTGAAGAGTCAAACTCTGATTGATCAACGGAAATTTTTGTGATCTGTTAAATAACGTCCAGAATAGTCGTTATATGCAAAGGTTGTTAAAATCCTAGACTGCCAATAAAAATGTTCTACTCAAGTAAATAGTCTATTCGAAATCAACGATTTCATTGGTGGCAGTGAAAATATCAAGAGGGATGAAACATTCGTAAGGTTATATTAGCATCTTATGTATATAAAGTACAAGTTAAAAAAAGGTGAGAAATTCGTTGCATGTGCCAATGCACCCCTTTTTCTAAATATTCTAAAAGGGTTTGTGAACTATGGTACATGAACAGTTCAGTATATACACACTTAAACACACCTCTGTGGAGCCTAAATATTATTCATAGTAGGGCGCAAATATTTTATTTGAATCTACATCTAATTACAAAAATCAGGCTGTTATTGCGATTTTCGGAAATATGCGCATTTATTTTTATCGCTGTAATTTCATTGGAAACTATTGGATATATATTCTAATTGAAGAATAATGAAATTTATCAAAGTATTTTTGACATTATCAATAAATTTGAAAAAAAAAATTAAAATTGAAATTTTGATCTAAAGCTAAGTACACAGTTCCTCGTGAAACGAAAAAATTTCTCCGGTAAAATTTTCACAGGTGATATTTTTATGGTGTTTTTTATTTTCGAATTGCAAGCATAATGATTTTTGATGTTCAATCAGCTAACTCATCCCAATATCAACACGACACATGAACAAATTTGGTTTTTGAGTTCATTTTTCTATGTGTTTTGTCTGAACAAATTTTTTTCACGCTCGTGAAAAATATTTCGCGTGCAAAATGTACGCGACATTTTTTTCACGGCCGTGAAAAAATAAGAAAGATCAAAATAAATTCAAGTATGGATTCAAAATTCAAATTTGTTCATGTGTTGTGTTGATATTGGAGGGAGTTTACTGCTTCATACATCAAAAATCATTATGCTTGCAATTCGAAAATACAAACCACCATACAAATATCACCTGTAAAAATTTCACCGGAGAAATTTTTTCATTTCACGAGGAACTGTGTACTTAGCTTAACTCGTAACCATTTTTCGGTTATGGAAAATTGATGAATTACGTGAAATAAAATGCGTTTAAAGTTAGCCGTTTTATACGAGTTTCATACGATTTTTTTAATCATTTGATGAAAGATCTAAAATCAGCTCTGAGCCAACAGTGTTTAGTATTTCTGTTTGCACGTTCTCCTCCCAAAACTTCCCCGAAAATATTATGTAATCAGAAGCTCACGCATTCAATGTAATTTTGTGTAAGAGTTTCTGTGGACACTCATAGTGTATTTATCAATTGTAGAAGTCGAAAAATTCTTGGGCACACAAATCACTGATTTTATCAGTGTAGGTATTTTGGTTCATAGAAGCTCTCAAACAAGTTGTCAACGATTTTTAATTGCTCATTGACCCGCTTATTGAATTTTTCTTAATGAAGTCTTTCTGTTGTAAACGAATAAATTGACCCACTATATTTCATTTATAATTTCGAAAAAGTTGAAAATATTTAACCTTCTTCCCTTGAAAAACAAGGTATTTCGGGTCTACAGCCTTGTGAAAGACACAAATACAGTTCACTTTAGTAAAATTTATTCAAATGATGAAATTATCATTTAAAAATAGATTGCAAAGTACAAATAGAATTAAAAAAAAAAAACTAAAACTAACCGAATCAAATATTTCGAAGTAAAGTAAAAATATATCAAAAAATGATTTGAAAAGAGATTTACGTTAGCAATGAAATGAATATGAAGAATAAAAAAGATTTCATTTCATTACAATCGCTTAAGTTTGAGTGCACCTTTTTTCGACTTTTGCAATTCGTCGTTAATCCGGTAGCATTTGAAATGGTCATGCACACAGTACGACAAATTTATCTGTTTGCAAGTTCTGTTCTCATGGAATTTCGATGGGAAAAATTATCACTACCTATTTAAACGTAAATTTCAACCCTTTTCTATGTGTCTTTACTTTGATAGATAGTTAATTCAAAGGGTAGTCTCGTATTGCTTCTTTGTAATGGCTACATACCTGAACTTCTGTATTATCTTCTGGTTCTCATTTAACCAATGTCCTAATCATGGTCAAACGGTATGCAAAGAAGAATTATGGAACGATGACAATACCGGCAAATACAATAGTGAATGCCTATATGTACTAAAAATGTTCCGGTCAAACCGGTTTACATGTGCAAGACGATTTTTTTTCCTAAATTTAATGTGTCCGAAGACGAAACATCCCTTCGCTATAATTCCCTTTTCAACCAACATGTTTCTAGCGCGGCTTCAGTCGTACATATCGAAAAGGTCCTGCATGACTATGTGTGTTTACGCTCCCATTGACTCAAGACGTTGTGTGTGTGTGTGCGCGTGTGTGCGTGCATATTCGTCGCTTAGCGGCGTTATCTTGTTACACACTGTTTTGGGATAGGGGTCAAAACTTACACATAAACATATTTGTATCCTTGCGCCTGAGGTTGATTTATGCATATTGGTAATGACTATGTGATGCGCGCTGATTGTCTCGGATGACCCTTCTGAAATTCCAAAACCAGTTTTCGATTTTCTTGAAAAAAGAAGGTACACGGAAAAAGGAGATATTGATCGCGCAGCTATGCAGCCCATCAACATTTTCGCCGGTTTTTTTCATGATGAAAAACATTTTACACTTTAATTGGAAAATAGATAGTTCTGTACACGATTGAATGACATTCGGTCATTTATATTTGCTGTGGCTGCAGTGGGACAACAGTTCTCAATAGAAAATTTCTCGAATTGAAACGGTAAATTTCATTTGCACATGTACATACAAATGTGAATTGTTTCAAAAGTGGAAATCGGTTATGTACGCAATGGTAAGAGTGACAGCAAGAAACTAATGAATTGGAATGTGGCGAAGAAAACATTTTCCCTTCATAGACACACACTTTGAGGCTAGTTGCGTTATAAAAAGGACGTACAGGGTCAGCGAGAAACTTGTTTTCGATTGAAGATTCTCATCCAATGCCATTACGGGTACACAAAACCGGACTGGCCAGTTTTTCGTGAGAAATTTTCGGCTACTGTCTTTTTAGCATGTATCACAAAGCATAGGATTGAAGGGTATTGAAGCATTTATACCTTGGGATTTTATGATGGAATAAAATTCGATTCATTTGAAATGTGTGACCTCTGGGAAAGTGTTGTTCAAATATGGTCCAAACAATAAGAACGACCGGCGAAATTAGAATGCTCACATTGAATACACTAAATTTTCAAAACAGCCAAATGCCATACAAAACGTTTGATATGATTAAATAACATGAACAGCAAAGCAAAGCAAAGCAATGAGTGACCTCTGGTTGAACAAGTTACATTCCTGTAAGGCAAAGCTTAAAATACCTATTTTTAAGTTTCATTTGGGTTTTCGTTGAATAAAGAAAACGTCGATGCTTTTCGAATGTGAGTGTGCTTTTCCCACTCAACCGACATAACCCGCTTCCTCTTCTATATTATAATATACTAATAACAATTCGTGCAAACATATATTTCCTGTCGGCCACAGAGAGTGGATCCAAGTGTTCAAGTGTTTGTTCGATCCAATTTTAGTCATGCTTTCATTGCGCTCTCACTCACTCTCTCCCTCTATACGGCCGTTACCTTCGATATGCATAGGTGCAGAAGCAGGCGTTGTATTGTGATTTGCTGTGCTGTGCTGTGTTATGTTGTGGTGTGTTGTGTTGTGTTGAGCGATGAGAATATGTGTGTGCGATTATATTTTCGACTCTTTTGTTGCTAATGGTTTTGTTTTTGTTGGAATAAATGAGCTGAATGGATGGACGGACGCGGCAGTTACGCGCGAATGTATATGTTCCCAGTCGAGCCGCATTGTTTGGATTTGTTCCGTTTGTTGGCCAAATAGTAGCAGCATCTAATAGCTTATTGGCAGTGGAACATGTGTTCTGGATGAAAACAGATCAAATACGTTAGTGTTGCTTTCGCGTACTTGTTTTGTTATCAAAGTGTAATATTAAACCTAAAGTGATTATTTTAAGAGTTCGATAAAATTTGTTTGGTATATTTGTCCACACGAGTAGTTCGTCTGCATAAATGTCAATTTTATTATTAGAAGTTTCATTATCGAAATAGAGATAGCAAAAAAAAAACTATATTGAAGATAAATTCACCAAGAACGGTGTTCAAATACTATTTACGAATAAGTGAAAAGAACTGTGTGCGAATATCTGAAATACAAATCTTACGGTCACACTGGAACAATTTGTTGTGGCATTTAATGAAATGGATTTGATTAAATCAAGCTGAATTGCTGTTATTTCAACGCTACATGTGACCGATTTGTTGTTTTGAATCTCAATTAGCTCAAGCATTGACCAATATCATACAAGAGTAGAAAAAATAAGTGACATTTAATGAATATACTCATGAGTCATACATCGAATTTATTATTGCTAACATTTACTGATATAATTAAATGTTAATGATTATTTTTTTCTTTTATCTTACTTGATTGCCGGATTGATGAGTAAAGATGTGTTATCCATTCACATGCTGACACTTTGTTTCCATTTTCGTCTCACATACTGATGCACAGCATATAGATCACACCGGTTTGAATTTGATTGGAAAGAAAAATTATCATTAACTTTTCTTTCTGAACAACATTGATAGAGCTTAGCACAAATCAACAAACTTTCAGCTGAAATAAAAAAAACAATACTTTGCTGACATAAATGTGAAATACGGAAGTGTTTTTCTGAATATTTATGGAACATTTATGCTTCATCTGTTGTTTTATTCTGGATGCATTCAAGTTTTAATTCTTGCAATCTCTTTACATCAATACCGAAATTCTACATAAAGAATTTTTATTCGAAGAAATAGCAGCGAAGTGACATCAAATCTAAATTAAAGCCATTTTCAATGCAAAGAGCTATCGAAAAAAATATTGCCATATTTTATTACGCCTCATAATTTATTTCGAACAAATAAACTAATTTTATCCGAAGAAAAAGAATTGTTCCAGCGATTATTATAACGGCATATTAATATAAAAACCAACCGCTTACATGCGCTTACTCCAGTACAAATCCACATGAAAATGTGATTCAAACGAAAATACATGGGAAAAGGTCTCTCTGTTTTTTCTAAAATATATGATTAATAGTTGAAACTTAACTCAATTCAATGGAACTACAAAATCTACACCAAAACAGTGAAATCATTCCTTTCATGAAAAGTATTGAAATGGAAGAACAGAAGCGAGGCGAAAATGAAATTAAATGAAAAAAAAAACAGTGTACGAATCAACATCATTCATTCTAGCCTGATTCATCGAAATCACTTCAGCGCAATTCCCATGTAAGAAATGATATTGTGCGCGAGCAATTACTGATAGTGATAACACGCACACTCGAACACAAAATAATAATTCATGTGGAATATTCACTCAACATTTTAGTCATATACAACGATCCGTAGCTGTGTAAAATTCCTTTTAGCTGTAGGAAAGTTAACAAATTGTAAAGATTTTGTGTATTATAGATAAGATAATGAATGTTAAGTGCATTTAGTGAGCTGCGCAGTTCTAACTTTTCAAACTGAACATCGATAAATGTCGAATTAAATGTATTTACTTCAAATAACATAACATTACAAATCCTATAAGAACCATACCGTTTTTATACGATTATCATTTTCATTTTTACCGATGCACCAATATATTGTTAGCCTTTTGTAGGTGGATGATAAGTTCATTTGAACGATAAGATTTGAAATCATAGCATGATAAAGATACAATCAGATGGAATATCAGGATTTCTATATTTGAATAGTGACTAAATTTTGATTCGTGTAAATCAAAGCAGCTGGTATTGGTATGGGTAAAAAACAAAATTTCAAAGTCACGCATTTATTTACTATCTTTTCCGAAATTCTAAAACATGGAAAGAGTTGTGACGTGTCGGTAGTTCTTCTTTTTATTGCGATTACAACGATCGTTGGTTGATCTAACGAATTTCTTAGACCTAGAGAGTGAACAATATTTAGAGAAAAAGAAAAGGAGAGAGAGAGAGAGAGTGGAAAAGAAAGCAAAGTATGTGTGTGTGTTCAAATAATAAAAAAAAATCATGATAATATTTTGAGTCTACTTGTCAGGCTTAAAATGCAAAAACATGATTAAAGTATAATGAAGTATGTACAAAATTCGACGCATCATTTACCATTGAAGCAGAACTAAAAACATCAAACAATTAATTCTAGTCATTGACGCGAAATTTTGCCAAACCGAAATCAATTATTTTATAAATTCACCAATCATGGTTTTCAAGTGAGATTGTGTGCGAATGATGAAAGTATTATAAAATTGAGAGGAAAATTACTATTCGTATGTTAATTCGCTCATTTGAATTTTTTTTGCGAACTCGATTTAACCGTGAATGAAAGCGCAAATTGAATGCTACTTTGTGTAAATAATGATTGAACCTATTTTTGTTACAGCTCAAAATCTATTAAGAATGCGTGTGGTCAATGTGTCGTAAATCAAAGTAGTATGCAAATGAACGTGTGACGAATCATACTGTTAATACTCATTTAAAGATATTGATTTGATAAAAGTCTAAAGAAAATGATATAAATCTTGAGAAATCTCACACATGACAGCATTGATTTCACATCATTTGACTATTATCAACCTGAGTTTGAAATTTCCCGATTTTGATTTTCAAAAACTAATTCAAAATATAATTTCTTTTCTTTGCAGGTCATTTGAAAAATGCATTGCAATACGATAATCACATGATTTAGAACAAACTCTGGACAAATTAATAGAAAAATAGACTCAAAATAACGAAACAAATAAACAAAAACATATTGTAGGCCATTCCTGATACTATATGATATAAAAACAGTTGCATGAAGAGCACACCTATTCAGTAAGTTCCTTATGAGGGTCAAGATTGAATGCAATTTGAATAGTGTGTAAGGTAGATGTGTACGTGAGCAACCGGCAACAATAGGATCTTTTTGGCATAGGGAAAACGTGACTGCAATACAGCAATAGGGAATATTAATATTCAACCAACATTCAAATGACGTCAGTATTGAATGAAGGGACTCTCGAGAATGAGGTCGTTGGCAACGATTTACCGCTGACTTTTAAGGTAATCAATGCTTTGAAATATATTCTATCAAGATTGATTCATAGATGTATTGAGCTCGATATTTTTTTTCTCTTTCGGATAAGATCATAGATATTTTAACAGGTGAATCCATTTGCCTTAATGTTTGAAATTTCTTTCCGTACTTGTGTGTACAGTGTATTCGTTGGTGTTTTTTCATTGAAAAAATATTTGCTTGTCCATTTTAAAATAGTTTACTTGTTCTGTGGATAACTTTTTTTCCCTATATTTATCTGAAATACTCCCATATGTGCCGGTAATATCTTGTGCTCATTTTATATGATGAACTAAACAGCTTGCTAGCCAAAAAAAAGTCATTTACCATTTCCGTTTAATTTACTCGTGCGGAACCAAATTAACCGGGGGAAAGTACATGTTTGTTGCTGTGATGGAAGTATATGTTCATTCAATCAACATGAAATGTTTTAATGTTATTGTTTTTGGTTAATCCATAGTTTCGCAGAATTTTTATAAAAAAAATAGTTAACCATTTTCATTTAAAACAATATTATTCAAATTAGAAAACGCACTTAGCCAAATATAACCTGCATTTATTTGGCCAAGATAACTACCGAAATAGTGGAAGGAAATTAATTTTTTTCAGCCCAATTTGAATGAGTCTAGTTACGATTCGAATGAACAACAACAACAAACAAACAAAGAACAATTTAAGTACTGAACGAGATTGTTTTTAAACAGGTTTTAATAAAACCGAATTCAATTTCAGCACAATAACGCTTTAATTGTAAGCTTTGATAGTATCAGCGACATAAATCTCCGAACAATTTTGTGTACAGTCCGAGATTTTTTGAAACAAAGCATTGTTTACGTGTTCTTTTCCATTTTCTTTTGTTTGAAAAAAATATATTGTACTATCGCACAAAAAAGAGAAAGAAGAAAGAAAAGAGAGAAGAGATGAGAAAAATGTTGTTGGTTTCGTATTGCTTGTCGAATGTCGTATTTAAGACTTTTTCTGTATTCTTCCGTTTCACCTAAACATATGAAAGAAAAAATGGTACAAAACTAAGAAATTAGTGAAATTGCATTGAAGGCAAATACGGATCCAAGAAAACAATTCACAGCACATAGCCGTACAGAGGTCGCCGGTAATAGTACTTTCTTGTAAATTGCTTATTTTTCATCCATTGAATGTATATATCACGTGTGAACTATCGCATTATTTGTACCAATAATAAATGGACAACTCAGCAAACACATTAAGCTAGATTGACCAACTACCGTTTTCCATTCTCAAAAATCGTTCAATTGTTGCTGCTCAATCCAGTTCAAACATGTTTTCCATCGATGAAATACCGTTTTCCGCAGAACGTTATTCCATGAACATTCATATATGGTGAATCAACGTCCGCAACACAAACGAACGTACGTCAATTATATTTTTTTTGTCGAAAATAACATTCTGCCACTATCAAACGGTATTAAAGTGGTCGCAGTGAAAGGGTCGAATATATGGCAAGGATACAAAATAAATGGACAATTTAAAACGATTGAGCAAATGGGTATTGAATATATTTATTTATATCACATGTCTAATTAGTATTTGTAAATGAATATGTATCTCAAATATTCCATGCTTTCTCATTAGACTGATGTACAGTTCATGCATACCCACCACAAATTAATTTCTACTCATGAATCCACGTTTGAATATTATTGATTTGGACGGTTTTTTCTCCCGGAGAATAGAATTATTATATTTGGCCGTTAGAAATTCAGCTATTTAGAATATCACTTTACCTCCAATGAAAGCAGGCATAGATTCACGACCAGTTTGTATTCAAAGCGAATCATTGAACATTTTCTATATAATTTCAAATTTCAATATATGTTAAACCATTGCTCATAGCGATTTAACCATTAAACAGAGCTATTGTCGGCAATACATCAACCAAACTTCCTCTTTTTATGTGTTGTTCATTGTTCACTTGTGTAGTGTATGATAACTATGATGATATTCTGGTTGTGTGGTATTGAAAGCACACAAATTGAAGATACAGTGACAATAGCACCCGACTAAAAAACAAACAAACAAATAAACAGCAAAGTAATAATAAAATGGACTCTATCACAATCATGAATTTCCTGTTATGCATTGAATTCGAGTGACATGCCGCCTTTAAATGAATGTGCGTTGAATAGTAAGCAAATGAGCTGTATTTTGTCACCGAAAAAAGTCACATTGAATTTATGTGATTAATCTTATGGGCCATCTAAATACGATGTATTAAGTACTGTTTCTATCCATTGAAACCCATTAAAAGTATAGGTAAACATTTGGTAATATCTTTTATGATAATTCCAATATAATAAAGCCAATTCCAATGAATCACGATTTGGTTGACACCTTCAACTCTTAGTTTTACCATCACTATTACCAGATGACATGTGAGCAATTCATGCAACTACTTAGAAAACTTTACCATTTGATACTTGGTGGGCATAAAAGTTGGAAACAATTTATAGGACTTATTTAAATGATACTAAAAAGTACCAATAAATTGTAATCTAAGCTTTGGATTGGCATATACTGCGTCTCTACTGGATATTACGTTGATTGAATAATATTCATAAATGAAGTGAATTTGTACTCATTTGCTTCCAAGCCAAATGGATCAAAATGTTTCTATACACTTTGAAGCAGAAGAAAATCAGGGTTTGATTTTTCCCATCCGCTCGATAGAGCCTCCATCGATTGAATCGAAAGAGTTTTTCAAAAGAGACTCTTTCAAAAGAATCTTTGCAACAATTTTCAATATTCTGCTACAAATTACGGCTGTAAACTATATTCAAA